GAAGCTTCCCTCTCACGAGTAAACTGGATCATGAAAAGCTTGCATGCCACCAAGTGAAAAGTTGATACTGCCTTATTAAAACCAAGTTCTAGCACAAAAATTCAGGTAAATTATAGATGGTTCAGAAGTGAACCACCATGACCCAAACAGTTAAGGTGGGCTAGTCACCAGTAACTCTATACAATTATCGACCCATCCTGTCGTGACAGAAGTTGTTGAGGAAATGCTTTCGGGAAATATTGATGAAATATTTATAAATGTAGTTTAACTGGAAAGAAAATTACACACATGGAGACTTTACTGACAAAGTATACTAAGGTCTTTGTAGGGCCATCCTGTATGCTGAGTCATGGATGGAAAGTTCTGTTCAGGCACTACACACACATACATGCAAGAAAAAGAAATCCACATCCAGGAGAATTTCTCAATAAATCAGCATTTTAAAGCCCATTGCTGGAACACATACACACACAAAAAAAACAGCTGTTCAGACATTAATTATTCATTAACATTATACAAGCAGTATTTGAGTAGAGCTTTCTTACCTCGGATGTCTCTGATGGAGGTTCCTGGTACAGAAGTAGTCCAATAAATATAATACCTCCTTGCACAGCTCCCAGTAGCAGAAAAAAATTAGGGACTCGATCCAAAATTTCAGAGTCGTAGAAATACCTGAAATTAATGTAAAATAAAACCAAGATGAACATTTTATGTATTGTGATGTAAAACAGTACTATTTGTATAATTAAAGTAATTATATTGTCTCTGTTGTTTATTGTTAATTAACAGTGAATTTTGTTTAAGGCAAAAACAAAAACATTTTTAATGTTTTTAGAGGATTTATAGACAAGCCACTTAGACCTTTTGTCAAACAGAAGCCTATAAGATGTGAAGTTTGTGTGTGCATAAAACAACTAATTACAAATATGAAACTTTAAAGTGAATTTAAACAATACAAAAAGTTAAGTCTCTCAGGATGAAGAAGGGAGTTGACAGCTATTTTAAAAGATCACTAAGGCCAACTTGATGAATTTATTATTTTGCTGTAGACAGAGCACAGTGTGAGGTTACAACCAGTGAAGAGACAGATGGAAGTGGTCACCAAGAGAGGTGTAAATGAAGAGAATATGTTGGCCAATCGGGAATAAGACTCCTTCATAATTCCATCTTTGTGATCAATGATAACTGTCGCATGATGATACTAAAAGCAAGTTTCAGAAATATCTCCCCTGAAGAGATGGTAAGAAATGATCAAGATACTGATATTAATTCTTAAACCCCGACAGTTTCTCTGTATCGTACGTTCATTTTAATCAAGGAATTTGAGGAAATCTAGTGAAAAGGCTTTAGGGGGTTTGGATTTATGACCATTATTAGTCGAACCTCACACAACCTTTCTTACTGTGTAATGAATACTGCTCTATAGTGACATCATTAGCAAGTCTCAAGAACGTCCTGTAAGGTGGTACTCGTAGAATGGTAAAAACTGACAAACGCCTTGATATCATACAAATTACCACACTTCCACTCTATACCATTTTGTTTATTTTAATCTGTAATCCTAGAGTACCTAAAGCATGATTAAAAACACGAGCCCCGTCAGTTTTACCAAGCATGGCTCAACTGTACATACAACATTATCACATACTTACAATTAAAACAATACAACGTTAAAGAAATTACACAAGAAATAGTTTTTCTAAACAGGGACTTGCCCTTAAAAAGAATCTACATGTGTTTCGATGTCTTATGACACCATCTTCAAGAATAACGGTAAAGGCATTGTTGGGACTTACATACCCACATAATCATTTACATTCCTATAACGTCATCTAGGCTTAAACTAACCTGATTTCCAAAACATCTGTCCGGTAGTTTATTGTTTTTAAACCTAGACCAGCTTTCGTGTTTAATATGATCCAATCAAAAACATCTGAAGTGTGAAAAGAAGGTGCAGCCAAAAAAAGGATCGAGTGTGTGATTTAGAGGAATGAAATCAAAATTGGCGGCCAAACTGGTAGCTACACTTATAACAATAATAAGAATTTTACGGCAAATATTCATTCATTAGTTAGCCAGGCCACGTTTTTTGTTCAACTTGGGGCATGATGGAAGGTAAAATAATATATGCTTGTAGAACAAAATATCAACTCTCTTTTGGCAGCACATTTTTTTTTACACCGAAAGTGTTTTTGATTAGATATCATGACATCTTGTCAATACACACCAACAAACCACAGCAATTAAAAAAGTGACACTCGACAGTAACTAACATTAGCTTTAGGATCACAACCCTATTATTCGGAACAGGCCTATACTTTACAGGTATAAAAAACGAGACGGCATCTAGGAACGAAAAAAGCTAACATAATGACGAAATCAAATAGAGAAACCTCACTAAATACACTAAATATTTTGAAAATATTGTTTTCAACTGTTTGTCTGCTTGTATGTTGTTAAGCAAAAATCTAGACAATTGGCTAAGAAGTATCGAAACCCCTTTTTTTCAGTATGAGACCTCTGATTTACATGAGCCACTGGGGTCATTATTTTCTCGTGCGATTCCCACACGCACGGACGGCGAGATCAAACATGCCTCCTCTCTCACACGGAAAATGCACGCCTGCCTTCACGCATGCCGAGAAGTTTTCCACTAAATAAAATATGATTCAGTGTTGAACTATTGGAAAAACCGAGTCAGCAGGTGAAAGTTTAAACACCATATAGTTGCTAAACAAAATAAAAATAATATATCCTCACTTTTGTTGCTATTTCCTTAACAACTAAAACAGTATGAACACACAAACCAGCTATTATTTCTGCAATTTTTATTCTGTTGTTTCGAAAAAATGCAAATGAATAGCGAACAGCAAGTTACTTGATTTATCCTGTAAGTTATTCATTAGAACTGGAGTGAAAGCAGCTCATGAGGATACTATTCTTGCCAGGAGACCCTTCTTACTTAAATAGCAAACTAAACTTACCCATCAGTATCTGGTTGAAGGTTATTAGGGTTCATAAAGAATGCATGCAAGTTATTCATTAGAACTGGAGTGAAAGCAGCCCCTGAAGATACTATTACTGCAACGAGGGCCTTATTGTTGGGAAACCACTGTAAACGACAAAATGTGTTTGATTCTTAAATTGTAAGTTTTATTTAAAAAAGCTTTATCAAAATTATGTTTATTATCGACAATCAACACTATTTCCAATATTAGAAAGTAGAGACATTTATTGGAATTCATCTCTGAACTCTCTTTGAAAATTAGTAAGTCATTTTTTTCTCCTTCTAGGACAGTTTTATATGTTTTAATATTCTTATTTCTATCATAAGAAGGTATGAAAAATGTTACATACCCTTCAATACTAAAATGATATGCACTGTAATATTTCATAAACAAAAATTCATTTTCTTTCATAACTATCTGATTTCTACACGCTATTAAAAATATACAAGTAGTGATTCTTTTCAATCAAATCTAAAAAACTAGAATATCGTAAAATATTATTGGTTTATAATTAAGTTTATGTAACTTTTTTTTTAGTTAATTAAACCTTTACAATAACTTCCAATAACACTGCATTAAATAGCTAATGCTTTCATCATATGGCATCAAGCTATTTAGTGTGTTAGATATTAGTGTCTACAACTTTCTACAATTGACCCTGTATAGGAAACACTAACTTCTTTCTTAAAAAGAGTAGTCATGTAGTTGAAAAGTAAGTCTTTGGTGGAAACAAGTATTATAGGTTTCTCATTATACTTAATGTTATCCTATAATGACAAGAATAATAATGTTGGAACGCCTATAAACGGGTTCCCTGAATCGTCATGAGGCTAACTTAATAACATGCAGAAAGTTGATATTCAAAAGACTGAATATGTGGAGAAAAATCATGGGTTAATAAATTATTATATACACAGTTACAAATAATACGGATAAATGTGGACAATTATAGATATCATTTTGCATAACAATGATATAAACTGCCACATACTTCCTTTATTCTTATTGTTCACACTGTTGCGTCATCGAGATCACATGACTACAGTGACGCAACGTTTCTAGAACTATCATGTACTTTGGCGAATGTTCAAGTTCTTACTAGAAATGGGTACG